AGACCCTTTCAATATTTCCTAACTTTAGTATCCCCCCTTACTTCCTCATAACATTTCCTTTCAATATTTTCTAACTTTAGTATCCCCCTTTCTTCCTCATAACAGACCCTTTCAATATTTCCTAACTTTAGTATCCCCCCTTTCTTATTCATAACAGACCCTTTCAATATTTCCTAACTTTAGTATCCTCCCTTTCTTCCTCATAACATTTCCTTTCAATATTCCCTAACCTTAGTATCCCCCTTTCTTCTTCATAACATACCTTTTCAATATATCCTATCTTTTAGTTTTCCCCTCATTATCAAACCTTTTTAATAGTTCTAAGCTTTAATAACCCCCCATTTTTCCTCATGACAATATTTCCATATTTTAATATTTTTCCAATATTTTTTTATTTTTGTCAAATTCATTATTGTTAATTTAGTTGCTTTTCTTTAATCATTTAATTAAAACTGGTTCAAAAAATGTAAATAAAAACAATTGTAAAATAATTTAATTCAAAAGATTAGATAGGTCTTTGTGAAATCTGAAACTATACATAATTCATGGTGAAGCAATCACCTCAGATCTTTACTGTCACAGTGAATTTTATTTGCAAAAAAACTAACATAAAAATAAAATATTAAACAAACTTCGATTATATATACACATATATATATATATATTTATATATATATATATATATAGTGTTTTCTACGTTGTTGTTTGTAAATTGACAAGAAATTTTTTTTTTTATAATTCTTTACCATATTCTAGAAAAGACCCTTTTAATTGGATACAATATAATAATTCTAGAACAGCCCCTTTAATTGGATACAGTATTATAATCTCAGTATAGTCCCTTTAATCTGATGCAGTATTATAATCTCAGTACAGTCCCTTTAATCTGATACAGTATAATAATCTCAGATTTAGAATTCAGTGATGGTGATGGACCAAACCTCTGTAGAGTAAAAAAGTAGGTGTTAGTTCCACATTTATTGAAAATATATTTCGGTCTGGGTTGACCCTCGTCAGTTCTTGAGATTGTTTCTTTACAAAGATTAAAAACAAACTCAACCTCAGTACAGTTCCTTTAATCTGATGCAGTATTATAATCTCAGTACAGTTCCTTTAATCTGATACAGTATTATAATCTCTGTACAGTCCCTTTAATCTGATAAAACATTATAGTTTTCTTGTGAAGACTGCAAATGGTAATATTTGGTGACGTTAACCCAGTTCAAACAGAGGTTAATCTATCCTTAGAGAGAGAAGAATAACCCCTTGTAAATTCCAATTATTATACGCATATCAGGCATATTCTCATCTAAGCATCAACCAATTAAACCTTTTGTGCGTATACGCGTATTCAAAGATGCGTAGTTCAATAGGTTAAAACGAATATTTTTTTTAATTCATTTTTTTGATTGTGTAATTTTAACCTGCAAATAGAAGTTGGGAGTTAGGGATAGAAAAAGATAGAGGGTAGGGGGACGTGCAGGGACCGAGGGGGAGGGGGCAGGAGGGAAGCGGATTAAAAGGGATAAAAAAGTTAGGGGAAAAGGAAAAGGATTTCAGAAAAACTGGAAAGATAAATTAAGAAAAGGTAAAGGGTTAAGATGGAAAGGAGAAGGGGAGGGATTACTTAACTTTAATATCCCCCCTTTCTTCTTCATAACAGATCCTTTCAATATTTCCTAACTTTAGTATCCCCCCTTTCTTCCTCATAACATTTCCTTTCAATATTTTCTAACTTTAGTATCCCCCCTTTCTTCCTCATAACATTTCCTTTCAATATTTTCTAACTTTAGTATCCCCCCTTCTTTCCAAGGATTAGACAAGCTATTAGGTTGAAAATAATAAGAGGGAGGTGCACCAGTTGTCCTTGTTCAGATAACGATTTCTAGGACCATAATAGAGAGAAACATAGTCAGGTCACTTTTTAAATTATTTAATATTTTAAATTATGAAACAGAAAGACATTATGCAGGGGGGCGATGATAAAAATGTATTTGCCAATGCAAGATCTTTCATTGTGTAGGATAAAGAATAAGAAGTGTTACCTAAGATTATCAGTTTTTAGCACATTGCTTCCAATATCCTTTTCCAGTAACCAAGGATCATCTAGGCACTAGATAGAAAAATAGAAAAATAATAGATATTATTTAGATGAAAAATAAAGTATAAAGATAAATAGATATAGAAATATTATTTTATTAAATAGATAACAAGTTTAGTAAAAAATCAGTAATGAGAGCAAATATAAGATAAAAATAAAAATAAAACCTGGAAAAGAATGAAAAAACAAAACCAGATGATTACATAAACCAGATGATTACATAAAAAAGATAATTAGATGAACATATAAACAAAAAATCAAAGAAATCAAGAAAAACAACTAAATTAGATAAAATGGTAGACATTAAAAAATAGACAGATAACGCTAAAAATGATATAAAAAGCTATTTAATCAAATGAACAGATACATAATAGATAAACACTTTTAAAAGAACAAACCATTTTTGCGGTCATTCTGTTTTTCGGATTCTTTAAGAGGAGGCGCCGAATAAAATCCTGAAGTTAGAAAAGGTTGAAAATTATAGAAGAAAAAAATATTTTTTTTTAACTCTTCAAAAGATTTCTGTTGTAGTTATTAAATGTTTTGGGGGTTAGGCAAAAAGTATTTAATCAAAAGGCCAAAAAAACACTCAAACATAAAGCAAAAGTTTTACTTACTAAGAAAATAAAAGTTAGCAAAACCCCGGTTTCGCTTTATTATGAATAAAGTTTTTTTTATTAAGAAGTTGATTGCTGAATAAACCCCGTTGTATTATTGTATTAAGAAGTATACATACAGAATAACCCCCCTTGCTTATTGTATTAAGAAGTATGCATACACAAAAATGCCCCTTGTATTATTGTACTAATAAGTATACTTACCGAATAACCCCCATTGTATATTGTATTAAAAGGTATACAGAATAAACCCCCTTGTATTATAGTATTAAGAAGTATACAGAATAAACCCCCTTGCATTATTGTATTAAGAAGTATACAAAATAAACCCCCTTGTATTATTGTATTAAGAAGTATGCATACAGAATAACCCCCATTGTATATTGTATTAAAAGGTATACAGAATAAACCCCCTTGTATTATAGTATTAAGAAGTATACATACAGAATAAACCCCCTTATATTATAGTATTAAGAAGTATACAGAATAACCCCCTTGCATTATAGTATTAAGAAGTAAACATACAGAATAAACCCCCTTGCTTTATTGTATTAAGAAGTATACATACAGAATAAACCCCCTTGTATTAAGAAGTATACATACAGAATAAACCCCCTTGTATTAAGAAGTATACATACAGAATAAACCCCCTTGTATTTTTGTATTGAGACTAGGCTTCCTGGGCGCTTCGCGGCTTGCACACATCTTCCATTTCAATTGTGAACATTTTCTCTTTGTGTACATTGAAAAACAAAAACAAAAAAGTTCGCGAATTTTACAAAAAAAAATTTCGTGGATTTTCAAAATTAAATGAAAATTGAATTTTGTTGGTGGCCAATTTTTGAAACTTTAATCATCCATGAACCTTCCCTGGGGTCATGTGAGGTACCACACAAAATTTGGGCCCGATCGGTTCAGCCGTTTCGACGTTTATTAGATACGCACAAAAAATCAAACACCATAACAGACAGACACCCGGACAAGCAAAGTATATATATATATACTAGAAGTATACTAAATAAACTCCCATCGTGTGTGTTATATCGCTTAATAGAACTATTACTGTCTAGATAATTGTTCCCCATCACCAATAAAATTGTCGATATAATTTTACGAACCGATTATAGCGCCTACCACCACCAGGACCTAACAGCGTTTTATACCCCATTCTTTCCAACCTTATTCATATACATACAATACCAATTTCATTACTTTGCTGTCCCTATTATACAAACGTCATTGTAGCTTTGGGTGTTCAAATATCCAAATATCATTATTAGCGTGTCCCGATTAATTAAACATTATTATTTGGGTCTCCATGTATGCAAATATTATCAATTGGTTCTTACTCATTTAGAAATATCATTATTTTTATGTTCCGATTATTCAAATTTCAATTCTTGTGTGTCTCGATTATCTCAACATTATTTCTTGGGTGTCCCAAATATCTAAATATCATTATCGGGGATACCGATTAGTTGTGTGTCCCAATAATCAAAACATTAATACTTTGGTGACCCAGATATCCAAATACCATTATTTGGGTGTACCGATTAATTTGTAATGCAATATTATTTTTTGTTTGCCCAATTATTCAAAATTCAATACTTTGGTGTTCTGAATGTAAATATAATTATTTGGAAACTCCAAATTATTCGAATTCTTGGGAGTCTGATTGGGACATCACTTTGATGTCCCATGTATAATCCACCCAATCAATATCAATAAACTTACTTTATTTTATCTAACAGAATTCATAGTTTGAAATATCTAAGGTCTACGACATTTGGAATCCAAAGATATATGGTTTAGAAAAGCAGAGCTTGTGGCAAAGACTCAATTCCTTTATCAATTCTTTATTTGATATTATATAACAACCTAATCTTTTTAATCTCTTCAATATATCAATCATCTGAAAGGTATTGGTGATGTTTAAGTGCCCCTGCATAGTACATTTCAATATCATTCCAGGATTTCTTTCATCGCAACTATTTTTATAGCAAGGTAAGTTCTCAGGTGAATAAAATCTGTATAAAATAGACTATAAAGGAATTAATATTAAATTAATATTAAATTTAATATTTATCAATAAATATTAAAGAAATTGAGTCTTTGCCCAAAACTCTCTTTCTCTAATCTTAGCAACCCAATGTCGCAGACCTTAGACATTTCAAATGAGTTTGAAATATTAAAGTATTACACCATCAGGTTGAAAAAATATAGGGATTTTGGTGTAAAGACTCATTTGGTAATTGTTATATATCTTTCCCCAATACCTTAGCATTTGTAGAGATATCATCAAACTCAGGCTCGTCAAAATCATAGGTTACACTAGACAGTAGACATATTGAAATATTTGAGAAATATCTTGAAATACCTTGAAATACCATGAAAAGAGAAATTTCTTGAAATACCTTGAAAAGAGAAATATCTTGAAATATTAGAGAAATACCTTAAAATACCTTAAAAAGAGAAGTTTCTTGAAATGTTAGAGAAATACCTTAAAATACCTTTAAAAGAGAAATATCTTGAAATATTAGAGAAATACCTTAAAATACCTTTACAAGAGAAGTTTCTTGAAATATTAGAGAAATACCTCAAAATACCTTGAAAAGAGAAATATCTTGAAATATTAGAGAAATACCTTAAAATACCTTGAAAAGAGAAATATCTTGAAATATTAGAGAAATACCTTAAAATACCTTGAAAAGAGAAATATCTTGAAATATTAGAGAAATACCTTAAAATACCTTGAAAAGAGAAATATCTTGAAATATTAGAGAAATACCTTAAAATACCTTGAAAAGAGAAATATCTTGAAATATTAGAGAAATACCTTAAAATACTAAAGAAATACCTTGAAATGTTAGAGAAATGCCTTAAAGTATTAAAGACTTACCTTGAAAAATGAAAAATACCTTGAAATATTAGAGAAATACCTTGAAATATTAGAAAAATACCTTGAAATATTAGAAAAACATTTTGAAATATTAGAAAAATACCTTAAAAAATTAGAAAAAATACCTTGAAATATTAGAAAAATACCTTAAAAAATTAGAAAAAATAACTTGAAATATTAAAAAAATACCTTAAAAAATTAGAAAAATACCTTGAAATATTAGAAAAATACCTTGAAATATTAGAAAATTACCTTGAAATATTAGAAAAATACCTTAAAAAATTAGAAAAATTTCTTGAAATATTAGAAAAATACCTTAAAAAATTAGAAAAATACCTTGAAATATTAGAGAACGTTTCTGAATCAGTTTCCCCCATAAAAGGTGAATATCCAGAGAGAAGAATATAGCAGATAACTCCAACCGACCACATATCTAAAAAGCAATATTTTTAAAAATAGTTATAAACATTTTGCGTTTAAAATGGGTTTTGGTTGTTCAGAATTTGTTGTAACGTTCAGTATTTGTTAGAATTAAGATGCTGTGACCGTGGTAAAAATAATGATTATTTAAAAAGTGCAATACATATACAAGATACAAAATAACACAAAATAAAAAACCTACTATACCTAAAACTCTATATTTGCCCAAGAAATATGCCTGCAGGAACTACCAAAGCTTTGTTTACAATAGGGAAAACTGCAGTTTCTGGGAGAAATGTAAACAAAGCTCAGTCGAATCTGCAGCACTATGTTTTTAATTCCTCCCGGAAATTGCAGTACACTTTATTTGTAAACAAAGCTATAAATGCTCCTACATACTATATTCATTGACTATGTGTCTAAGATTGCACAAAAAATCGGTGATGACAAAATTAAAGTTTTTCTCCCAATCCCAATATAGACTTAACAACCATTAAACCTAATAAAGGTCGGTATCTTGGTATCTACAGACCTTAGCGATATAATTTACCTGTAGACAAATCTATAAACTCATAGTTGACAACTTCAGGGGCAACAAACTCAGGGGTTCCTCCCATCATTTTAAACTAAATATGAAAAATAGATAAAAATAGATAGATAGATAGTTTAGACGAAAATGAGCCTAAAATGAAGAAAAGGTTAAATTTTTTATGAAATAGCTTTTTTCCAGGTTTACAAGCTTTTTTGAATGATAACTATGATTGTTTTTTAGTTTTCTACTCATTTTTGAAGATACTATTTCGTTTTAATTCTTTCATTGACAATTTCTTTCCAAATAACTCAAAATTGACATAATCATGACCATGATGGATAACAAGTTGAGGGAAAAAAAAGATTTTTTTTAAATCCAGATTTAAAGATCTAAAGATTTTAAAAAATGAAGATTGGGATATTTTACTTGTTAAAAATTCAACGGTTAAAAATGATTGCAAAAATGTTCATGGAAAAATTTAACGCGAACGCACGTTCCTTCTATAGAGCTTAAAATTTAACGCTACATAAACCTAATTCCAGCAAATTATGAATAGTAAACCTCGAGATAGTGAAGTGTTAAATGCTTCATAAATCCTTGATTATAAATGCCTCCAATTAGGCATTTGTATGCTTACAAAGAGGCAGTTTTATATTAAAGAGAATGTTCATGAAAAGAATGCGGTAACACATTTCAAATTTTCAAATCTTTAAATCTTTGGAGTTTCAGTTCCTTTACATAAATTGTATTGAATATATAAGAAGGAAACTTTAAATGTTAAATACGCAATTATGTTTAGGCCTGCAAGGTGCTCATAGTACAGTTTATCTGCTAGGGCACAAAGATCCAGGCTTAGGCCTGCAAGGTGCACATAATACAGTTTATCTGCTAGGGCACAAAGATCCAGGTTTAGGCCTGCAAGGTGCTCATAATACAGTTTAGCTGCTAGGGCACAAAGATCCAGGTTTAGGCCTGCAAGGTGCTCATAGTACAGTTTATCTGCTAGGGCACAAAGATCCAGGTTTAGGCCTGCAAGGTGCTCATGGTACAGTTTATCTGCTAGGGCACAAAGATCCAGGTTTATTTGAAAAGAGTTGTATTAAGTTTTAAGGCTGGGTCGAATTTAAAGTTTCGCAAAGCATTAATGGTTTTTCATTTAACCTCATTGACTTGCATATTCTTTATTATAGGCTCCTGCTTTAGTTTTAAGAAGTAATTGACAAAATTCTCAATATTTTTTGGGTTAGAGCTCGCAACCTTTGGATCCCTGTGAGGGTTTAAACGTGACATGTTTTTATACGTACCTTAAAGCAGGTCTAGGGTTATATACAGAAAGATTAGAGTTCAACGTAAGTGTCAAATTTAATAAATAAGTTAATTCTGACTTTAATGTCAAAAAAAAGTTTTATAAAATTCTTAGATTCAATTAATGTAAGACGAAGGAACATTTTCACTCACAACTAATAGCGCTGAGTAACAAACTTGAAATAACAAACAAGGGCTTTTTTGCAAACAGTCCCTTTAAAATGAAAATAAAAATGCATTGTAATTGCATGATGCATATGTAGAAGTGAATGTTGTGATTACTATTGTATATATTGGGCAATACATCATATACCTGCATCATAAACAACCAGTTTGGCACCAAACATTCAACAAATAATTAGGTAAAAACACAACAAACAACTAGTCTTCAAACAAACCTTTTCTTCGGGTAACATCTTCTTAGCGAGACCAAAATCTATGATTTTCAAGGAGTTGCTGTCTTTGTGTGTACACACCACGTTCTCAGGCTGAAATATCTCATATTAAAGGAACTGTAAAGGAAAAATAAAAGGGGGTATAGGTTGAAAGCTAATTACTTTAGCTCTTGATCGCGACCCACGAAAGTTATATCTGATGTTCCTGCCTCAGGAAATTGATATAAAACTGTGTCAATTTTATACGAAAATTCATATATATACAATTTTGTATAGAAATAGTAAGTTTAAACAGATCATATTCACCAAAAACACAACTAATCTTTACTTTGGTTTGCTCCAATTATGATTTTATAATTCTTATTTTTGTTTTTAATAGATATAATTGATAATATTATTATCAATTCCGTATAACGTCACAAGAACTCCCACCAATGAGAGTGAAGTATACTGGTCACGTGATACAGAAATAGAGACAAGTGACCACTTACTGGTCTATCACTGGTGGGAGTTCTGGTGACGTAATACGTACTTATAAATAATATTATCAACTATATCTATTAATAATAAAAATAAAAATTATAAATAATAATTGGAGAAAACCTAATTTACTGGAATATCTTTGTTTTCAGATTGGTTGCGTATTTGCTTAATATGATTTGTTTAAGCCTACTATTTCTTTATAAAACTGTATATATATGAATTTTCGTATAATTTTACCACAGTTTTATATCAATTTCTCGAGACAGAAACATCAGATATAACTTTCATGGGTCGCGATCAAGAGCTAAAGTCCAAATATCTCCATCAAGTCCAAATATTATTCTTCAAGTCAAAATATTACCTTCAAGTCCAAATATTACCTTCAAGTCTAAATATTACCTTCAAGTCCAAATATTACCATAAAGTCCAAATATCTCCTTCAAGTCCAAATATTACCTTCATGTCTAAATATTACCTTCAAGTCTAAATATTACCTTCAAGTCAAAATATTACCTTCAAGTCCAAATATTACCATAAAGTCCAAATATTATTCTTTAAGTCCAAATATTACCTTCAAGTCCAAATATTACCTTCAAGTCTAAATATTACCTTCAAGTCCAAATGAACAATTTGTTTTGAATGAAGATAATCTACTCCTCGACATAGCTGCCTGAACAAATTAAAGATTTTATTAATCATTTCAATTTTTGAAATATTTAATCAAAAATCAAACGCAAACAATTTTTTCTCCCACCTAGATGCTTAAATTACATTAAATATGCATTATTATATCTTGGACAATTTTACTACTTCAATACATCCATGTTTAGTAGGAAAGAAAACATAGGGAATTGATACTTTAGAAGAGATTGTGGCAAACCAAACAAAGGGGTTTATGAGTTATGATCGGACATATAAACAAACGGAGATGGAATTTAAAGAATTTGAGCAGCGGTTTAAATCTGCCAAACCCCGGTTTAAATTAAGCGCCAGCTTAAATCTTGAAACATTTGATACAATTTTAAGTGGAACCAACCATATTTAAGCCGTGGCTTAAATTTAACCCGCCGCTCAAATTCATTAAATTCGGCCACTGATTAACAAAAAGATTACCACTTGATATAAATACTAGCTTTGGAACCTATAAAAGTCAACCTAATCATGGTAGAACTTTTAAGGACATTTCCGTACTTCTACCGAGTACCCCGATTGAGGCGAATCAATCAAGGGGTTCATGAATTATGATTAAACATCCAAACTGACAAATAGACAAACAGAGATTACTACTTTACTTAAATAGATAAACCGGTTGGCAAAATAGTTCAATCTTCAGTCAATCTTGACATCTTTCTTTCCAAAAATTGTCAATAGGAATTCAAATTTGGTTATCCCTATATCTTTGCAAACTCATGGTGTAAACCTTTGATATTTCAAACTTAGATTATTTGATCTAGCATAATTCATAGTTTGAAATAACTAAAGTGTAAGACATTGGGTTGCAAATATATGGGAATTAGAAATAGGAGTTTACGACAAAGACTCAATTCCTTTACGAAAAAAGAAATTTTCCAATTGACGAAGTAAAAATGCAGTTTTATTAAACAACTCTGCAGTCTACCCTAACTATCTTAGACTATTACTCTGATATTTTATATCTCTATATTTATACTGATGCATCTATATATCTTTATGTGTATCTATGTTGGTATCTATCTATCTGCATATCTTGTCTGCCTATCTGGGTTTACATATAAAAGGCACTGTCAAACCTAAGCATGAAACACTTGTCCCATGTCACAGAGTGCTCATGGTACAGATTATCTGCTAGGGCACAAAGATCCAGGCTAATTTGAAAAGAGTTGTATTAAGTTTTAAGGCTGGGTCGAATTTAAAGTTTCGCAAAGCATTAATGGTTTTTCATTTAACCTCATTGACTTGCATATTCTTTATTATAGGCTCCTGCTTTAGTTTTAAGAAGTAATTGACAAAATTCTCAATATTTTTTGGGTTAGAGCTCGCAACCTTTGGATCCCTGTGAGGGTTTAAACGTGACATGTTTTTATACGTACCTTAAAGCAGGTCTAGGGTTATATACAGAAAGATTAGAGTTCAACGTAAGTGTCAAATTTAATAAATAAGTTAATTCTGACTTTAATGTCAAAAAAAAGTTTTATAAAATTCTTAGATTCAATTAATGTAAGACGAAGGAACATTTTCACTCACAACTAATAGCGCTGAGTAACAAACTTGAAATAACAAACAAGGGCTTTTTTGCAAACAGTCCCTTTAAAATGAAAATAAAAATGCATTGTAATTGCATGATGCATATGTAGAAGTGAATGTTGTGATTACTATTGTATATATTGGGCAATACATCATATACCTGCATCATAAACAACCAGTTTGGCACCAAACATTCAACAAATAATTAGGTAAAAACACAACAAACAACTAGTCTTCAAACAAACCTTTTCTTCGGGTAACATCTTCTTAGCGAGACCAAAATCTATGATTTTCAAGGAGTTGCTGTCTTTGTGTGTACACACCACGTTCTCAGGCTGAAATATCTCATATTAAAGGAACTGTAAAGGAAAAATAAAAGGGGGTATAGGTTGAAAGCTAATTACTTTAGCTCTTGATCGCGACCCACGAAAGTTATATCTGATGTTCCTGCCTCAGGAAATTGATATAAAACTGTGTCAATTTTATACGAAAATTCATATATATACAATTTTGTATAGAAATAGTAAGTTTAAACAGATCATATTCACCAAAAACACAACTAATCTTTACTTTGGTTTGCTCCAATTATGATTTTATAATTCTTATTTTTGTTTTTAATAGATATAATTGATAATATTATTATCAATTCCGTATAACGTCACAAGAACTCCCACCAATGAGAGTGAAGTATACTGGTCACGTGATACAGAAATAGAGACAAGTGACCACTTACTGGTCTATCACTGGTGGGAGTTCTGGTGACGTAATACGTACTTATAAATAATATTATCAACTATATCTATTAATAATAAAAATAAAAATTATAAATAATAATTGGAGAAAACCTAATTTACTGGAATATCTTTGTTTTCAGATTGGTTGCGTATTTGCTTAATATGATTTGTTTAAGCCTACTATTTCTTTATAAAACTGTATATATATGAATTTTCGTATAATTTTACCACAGTTTTATATCAATTTCTCGAGACAGAAACATCAGATATAACTTTCATGGGTCGCGATCAAGAGCTAAAGTCCAAATATCTCCATCAAGTCCAAATATTATTCTTCAAGTCAAAATATTACCTTCAAGT